ATGACAGTAATGTTTTCTTCAAGCTACTGGGGAATTAAAATACTTTGTATAATGCTATTCTTATACCACATACATATAGCCACTCCTCTAAAGCTCGCTCTAGTTTCCCTGTATGTAAGTCCAGAGTTATTGGTGAGGAGAGAGTTTTCAGGAAAGTGAGATTCAGACCTGTATCCTGGGGATAAGAAAAAGTGATTCATTGATTCATTGACAGGGCTTCAGTGAAAAATACTGATTTTTAAAAAATATATAAAAGTAATATACATTGAAAATAATTATGGGAAATTTGAAAAATTTGCATTAAAGAAAATAAAAATTACCCATAATCTTATCACATAGAGATGGAAATTATTAACATTTTGGTGTTTTTAAAAATCTAGTCTTTTATGTATTTGTGTATATGTGTACATACATGTACTTGTTTTTTGGGGGGAGATCATCAGTTCTACCTCTTGAAAATTTTATTCAGCACTACATCATGAATATTTTATCAGGTCAAAAATAAATCATGAAACACCTTTGCTACATATATTTTAAGTGTTCCATTATATTTATTTAATTATTATCCCAATATTGGACCTCTACATTGCTTTGCATTATTTACTAATATTAGAATACTGCAATTAATGTCCTGATATGGTTAGGCTGTGTCCCCACCCAAATCTCATCTTGAATTGTAGCTCCCATAATTTTTATATGTTGTGAGAGGGACCAAGTGGGAGATAATTAATTCATGGGGTTGGTTTCCCCATACTGTTCTCATAGCAGTGAGTAAGTCTCATGAGTTCTGATGGTTTTATAAGGGATTTCCCCTTCACTTGGCTCTCATTCTCCTTGCCTGTCTCTATGTAAGATGTGACTTTGCTCCACATTCACCTCCACCCTGATTGTAAGGCCTCACCAGGCATGTGAAACTGTGAATTGATTAAACCTCTTTCCTTTATTATTATCCAGTCTTGGGTATGACTTTATTAGCAGCATGAGAATGGAGTAACACATGTCCCTTATGAAAATATTTATCCATGTCTCTGATTATTTCCTCAGTATAAGCTTCAAGAAATGGAATTAGTGGATCTGAGAGGACAATACTTAGTGAGGACTATGATTTAAAAGAAAGAATGGAGCTTCTCAAAGACTGTCTTATAGCGGCCACCTAAGAGTGGTCTTCACATCCTAACTTTGCTGACACTGAAAATTCTTTGAGGAATTCTTTGTAAGTTTGATAGGAACCAAATTGTATTTTATTGTCTGAATTTTTTATTACAAATGAAGTTGAAATTATAAAATATTTTATAAAGTCATCCTGTAAATTGTTTATCACGTACCCATTTTTTTTTTTTGAGGTGAAGTCTCACTCTGTTGCCAAGGCTGGAATGCAGTGGCGTGATCTTGGCTCAGTGCAACCTCCACCCCTCAGGTTCAAACAATTCTCCTGCCTTAGCCTCCCATGTAGGTGGGATTACAGGTGCTCCGCCATCATGCCCAGCTAATTTTTTGTATTTTTAGTAGAGACGGGTTGGTTGGCCAGGCTGGTCTTGAACCCCTGACCTTGTGATTGCCTGTGTCGGTCTCCCAAAGAGCTGGGATTACAGGCGTGAGCCACTGTGCTGGCCAATTGTGTTTTTAGTAGGGATGGGGTTTTACCATCTTGGCCAGGCTGGTCTTGAACTCCTGACTTTGTGATCTACTTGCCTCAGCCTCCCAAAGTGCTGGGATTACATGTGTGAGCCACCGTGCCCAACTGCCCAGTTTTAAAATTGTGGTGTTCATGTTTTTCTTTTCTTTTTCTTTTTTTTTTTTTGGTAAGAATAATTACATTAGCCATTTTATTGTTATATTTGTTGAAATCTCCAGTTTGTCACTTGCTTTTACTTTTTATATACATATAAAAGTGGACACTACAGGACCTGTGTGTGTGTGTGTGTGTGTGTGTGTGTGTGTATTTTACACATCATATATTATTTATCTTTTCTTTTTTTCTTTCTTTTTTTTTTTTTTGAGATAGTGTCTTACTATGTTGCCCAGGCTGGCTTTAAACTCCTGGCCTCATACAATTCTCTCACACAGCCTTTTCAGTAGCTGGGACTACAGGGATGTGCCACCATGCCTGGAAACATATACCCCTTCTTTTTCTTTTCTCAGATGGAGTCTTGCTGTGTCACCCAGGTTGTAGTGCAATATCAGCTCACTGCAAACTCTGCCTCCCACGTTCAAGCAATTCTCCTGCCTCAGCCTCCCAAGTAGCTGGAATTAAGGGTGCCTGCCACCAAGCCCAGTTAATTTTTGTATTTTTAGTAGAGATGGGGTTTTATCATGTTGGTTAGGATGGTCTTGAACTCTTGACCTTGTGACCTGCCCTCTTTGGCCTCCCAAAGTACTGGGATTACAGTTGTGAGCCAATGTACCCAGCCAACATACACTTTTTAATTAACACAAGAATTAAATTATTCTGCAATCAAACCTGGTAGACTTTTCCCCCCATAACTCTTTTTGCCTTTGTGCTTAGATTCTCTCTCCTCATCTGGAGACAAGTTATACTTTTATGTTTAATATATATATTTTGAGATTTAAAAAATTATTTTATATTTTACATTTACATCTTTGGTGCATATGACACCTTGGTTTATATCTTAAGGTGAATGTGCAAGATTATTCTAAATTGCTATATTTTTCTTCCCGCTTGGTTTATGCTAATGTCTTTACCACATCCTGCCTCATTCCTCCTTTTCCTTCTGCATCCCAGACACACCTCGGATTGAGAACCTTGCATTCTCATGTGTGGACTTTTGCCACAATCCCTTACTAACCCCATCATCTTTACTCTGTCTTCCAGTGTTATTGCCAGCTCACCTTCCTGGTGTATTGCTCTGTTAGTATCATGATTCTGTCCCCCAAACCGAGATAAAGAAAGCCAAAGTGTGCAGTTCAAGGTCCCCTGCTCATCTTCCCAAAGTCACTATCCATTTGTGTTACCATCTCAGCTACCTGAGAAAAGCATCAGTCATTCTGATAGCAAGTTTATATGCACATTACCTCTACAAAGCATCTTTCATGTCACATCCCAGGTAAGAGGTTTCTTATGGGAAAGAGGGTCTAGAAAAGCCTGTGTCCCAGACTGTCTGTCATCTGATTTTCTGCATTCACAGACATTAATTACCCAGAGTCAAATTAGTGAATAAGCCTTTCAGTTGACTTCCAGATGATTTAAATCGAGGCAAATCAACTACTGTCTCTAAGTCATTTCAGACAACCTAGCTTCATCCAGCAAACCTTCCCGATTAATGCCACCTGTATGATTATTTCAGTTCCCCATTTGTCATTCTTCCTGCATTAAGTTGGCACTCGATTATTATTATTATTATCATTATTTTGGGATGGAGTCTTGCTCTGTTGCCAGGCTGTAGTGTAGTGTCATGATCTTGGCTCACTGCAATCTCTGTCTCCTGGGTTGAAGTGATTCTCCTGCCTCAGTCTCCTGAGTAGCTGGGACTACAGGTGCGCACCACCACGCCCAACTAATTTTTGTAATTTTAGTACAGACAGGGTTTTACTATGTTGGCCAGATGGTCTCAATCTCATGACCTCATGATCTGCCTGCCTTGGCCTCCCAAAGTGCTGGAATTACAGGCATGAGCCACCGTGCCTGGCACTAGATGGACAGTTATTTCCTCTTGTTCCCTTTTTAGTGATCCACATGTATCCTTGCATGCTCCATCTTAAGGGATCAGAGAGCAGGAAGGAACCTTGCAGATCATAGAGTCTTGCCCTTATTTTATAGTTGAGGCCACTGAGGCTGGAGAGATGAAGGAAGGACCCAAGACCATGGACCTCAGCAGCTTTTGAGCCTCCTGGATGCTCCTTTCCTCCGCTCGCTTTTCTGCTAGCCTTCCTCTGGACTCTGGCTAGAACCTCTTTTCTTGTTTCTGCATAAAATTTCCTGGGCAATTTTGCCCACCTTTATGGTCTCAGCAGCCTACTATAATTTCTTATCTATCCTCTGCTGTTTAGTCTCTCTTGGATGGGTATGTCTGCCTTCTGAAGCAGCAACTCCACTGGTTTGTCTTAGCAGCATTTCAACTTGACATATTCAAAACAGAACCCTCTACCACCCCCTTCTGCTCACTTGCTCCTACTCCTGTATTCTCATCAATGGCACCACCATCCATCAAATAATCTAGATGAGAAGTGATCCTTAACTCCTCTTTCTTCCTCACCTTCATTCCAATCAAGGTCCTGCTGTGTCCACTTCCAGCCCATCTTTGGACTCTTTCCAAATGGCTTGATCCCCTGTGCTGATACCCCGGTCCAGATTCCACTCCCCTTCTCTCGGACTATACCTACAGTTTCCTGAACAGGTCTTCACATCTTTGGTCCATGTGCCACCCTGAAGGCTGAGTAAGCATGCAATGGTGGTGGCCATCACACCCCTCCCTGAATTCAGACTCCCCATCTATTTCCAAGGTCCTTCCCAACACGCTCCAGCCCCTGTGAAGCACTTTTGCTTGGAGTATTCTACATTGTTCTCTTCACCTGGTTAACCCTTACATTGTTCTCTTCACCTGGTTAACCCTTCACCTGGTTAACCCTAACACCTCTGTCTAGCTGTCTTTCTCCCCAAAACACTTTCCCTGACTCCCCTCAGCCCTCAAAAAGTCTAGCATGGGTAACCCGTCTTATGAGCCACTCCACCCATCTCTGGTTTAATCCTCACATCTGGCCTTCTCACCTATGGGTCTAGGAGCGTCATGAGGTCACGAGGTGTGCCTTCTTTATCACTGCCAGCTCCACAGCTTGCACGGGTTCTAACACACGGGAAGAAACTCACCAAGTATTTAGGGAGCCAATAATGTAGGTCTAGGGCTCTACACCAGTGCCTTGGCCATTCAAAGTAGGAGTGGAGGATGAGGCAACCGCAGATGGCTGTCCTTGTGACATTTCTGAGTTCTCTTTCCTGAAGGCGGTCATTGAGTCCCTTTGGTGGCTTTCCCCATGCAGACCCTTCACGATGGGGAAAACCTCTGCGGAGCAGAGCTGCCCCCTCTGCTTGGCCCCGGCTTGCCATCAGAGCTCGCGCAGATCACCCTCTGGGGCTTGGCCTGGCCGCCGGCACCCCAGCACCCTGCGCAGGGCGGTGGTGATCTCGCGGTTGCGCAGGCTGTAGATGAGCGGGTACAGCAGTGGCGTGACGTTGGTGTAGACCAGCGCCAGGGTGCGGTCCAGCCGCGGGGAGTAGCTGGCCCTGGGCCTCACGTACATGAAGGTGGCGCAGCCGTAGTGCAGGAGAGTGACTGCCAGGTGCGAGGCACAGGTGGAGGCGGCCTTTCCCCGGCCTCCGGGGCAGCGCAGGCGGCGCAGGGCGGCGGCGATGGCGCCGTAGGAGGCCAGGATGAGCGCCAAGGGCAGCAGCAGCAGCACCAGGCAGGCGCCCAGCAGGGGCAGCTCGTCGGCATAGCTGCGGGTGCAGGCCAGGTGCAGCAGCGCCGTGATGTCGCAGAAGAAGTGCACCAGCAGGCGGGAGCCGCAGAATGGCAGGTGGAAGATTGCCACCGTAAGCCCCACGGACACCGCCAGTCCCCCGAGGCAGCAGGCCAGGGCCAGCCGCGCGCACAGCCCTGGGGTCAGGACGGCCGCGTAGCGCAGCGGGTGGCAGATGGCCACGTAGCGGTCATAGGCCATGGCAGCCAGCAGGAAGCACTCGGCCCCGCCCAGAGCCACAAACATCTGCATCTGAAAGGCGCAGCCCAGGAAGGAGATGGGGCTGCCCCTACTGTGGCCCGGCGTGCTCAGGTCGGCCAGGGAGCGGGGCACCACTACCACCGTGTAGCAGAGCTCGATGGCTGACAGCTGGCACAGGAAGAGCAGCATGGGCTGCTGGCTGGGCATTGAGGCCACCGCCACCAGGATGAGCAGGTTCCCGCTCAGGGTGGCCAGGTGCACCCCCAGCAGCAAAAGGAAGAGCAGGGGCCTCAAGTGAGGGAACTCGGAGAAGCCTTGAAGGAGAAAGCCACAGGGCATGGTGGCATTGCTGGGGCTGTCCATGCAGGGGATAGCCCAGAGGCACCTGTGGGAGAGAGGCACAGGAGGGAAGAGCTTGTCGGGTGTGCAGGCTCTGGCCCTGCACGTGGAGGAAGAGTCAGGTGGAAGGTAGAGGGTGGACCAGGAACAGTGACTGCGGAGGGGTCACAACAGTTCATGGGTCCATTCCCAGCCTGCCACCCGACCCCTCCTCACAAGGAGGTCTTACTGACTTGTGTAGAAAAATAGTGCAGTTTTTGCTGCCTCCTGGACAAGAATTCCTACAGCTGCTTTCTCAACGTGCTGTTTCCAGAGAGCCCTGGATTTTAGCTCCTCTCCTTGCAGTCATCACTCCTCACCTCCATTTGCAAAGAATTCATGTGCCTCCATAGTCCAGTTATTATCTTGTGGGTCCCAGGGCTGTGAGTATTGTGTCTGCGGCAGCCCGAGACTCCGTGGTGAGAAATGTCTTTAGTTCCCTTCTGTCTCCTCCTGCCTGCCCTATTCTGTCATTTCTAAGTTGCTTTCTGTGGTATATCATAAAATCACAAAAACATAATGCAGATGAGGGCCTTAGGGAGCATCTCATGTAACTTCATAATTCTGAGGAGGAAAATAAAGATTGGGTGCGGGAAAAGGGAGTTGTTGAAGGCCTTATTGCTCACAGGAAGTCAGGAACAGAATCTGCATTCTGAGGCTGAATCTAGAACTTTCAATGACCCAGGTCCTGTAAAAAGGTCACTCAGGTCAAGACAATCCATATCTATTTAGTTTTAAGTGGAGACCCAGATCCGTGTCAGGCTCTGGGGCAGACACTAAGGCAGCAGAGCATGCGTCGTGGGCATTCTTCCCTGGGTGCCTCAGGAACGACATGTCCCTAACATTCTCATTAATGCTTTGTCAACATGAGAAAAGGTGACGTGTATTTGTTCTGACTTGACTTTCAGTTAGCAGTACATTCCAAATTTGCCATCAGAACACAGTTTCATTCTAAGCATTGTACAGTGACTCATTTGCAAGGAACATTTAGAAAACACTGACAGTGTGCAGGTCAGCTGCATTTATCATAATCCTCTGGGATGGAAGAAACAGGAGGTGGAAAGAGATTTGAGGCCATGCAAGCTGGAGGAGGAGGTTTACTTTTTCCAACAGATATCAATGAGATCTCTTTTTTATTTTTAAGTGTAAGCTCAAGTATTTGCTCTTAAAATCACTGTTAATAATGAATGTCGGAGGTGGAATTTGTTCATAGTTGTTGTACCCTAGAGTAAAAGAGCAATAAAGCTGGGTCAAAGGGTAACAGGAAAATCAGATGAAAGAGCTGGAAGGAATGCAAAGAGTTGGGCTTTTGCTAGCTAATATATATATATATATATTTCAGACAAGGTCTCAGACTATTGCCCAGGCTGTAGTGCAATGGCACCATGATGGCTCACTGCAGCCTTGACCCCCCAGACTAAAGAAATCCTCCCACCTCAGTCTCCTGAGTAGCTGGGCCTACAGGGGCACACTGCCACACCCAGCTAACATGATGGGGTTTTGCCCTGTTGCCCAGGCTGGTCTCAAACTACTGAGCTCAAGCAATCCATCTGCCTTGGCCTCCTAAAGTGCTGGGATTACAGGTGTGAGCCACTGTGCCTGGCAAAATACCTTTTTTTGAGAGGAGAATTCTAAGGGTTTTTGTTAGTGTCACCCTGTGCTCTTCCTCATCCTCTCTGAGGGGAGCACTTTCAAATGAATGTTTTCAGTCTTCTAATGGAAGAGTAGGGTTGGGTTCTGGGTAGGTCCGAGGGAGGTGGATTCATTTCCCATCTGTTTTAGATCATTCACTTTTCAGTTTTGACCACCCTTCAAGTTATTGAGCAGGTGTAACCAACCTGTATTGACTGCCTCCTCTTGGCCAGTTGCTGTAACGTTTGCTGTGAACATGTGAGAGAGGCCTGGCTGGCTTGGAGGGTTCCTAAAGTGCCAGGACAGCTCTCTTGTCTCCACCTCTGCTCTGTCCTCTACTTTTTCCTCTTCATTTCCTCTTTAGCATGGTCGGGCAGGGGAATGCAGAAGAAAAAAAATGGAAACATTCCAGTTCTTCCTCCAAGTTCTTACCTCACAGAAATGTAGATGACAAGGCCCGTTGATGGCACTTATATTTAGCAGCTCAAGGTACGCCATGTTTTAAAAACAATGTGGAAGTTAAAACAAGTTGATCTCATAAGAAGTAAAAAGCAGAAGAGCCGGCAGTAGAGGCTAGGGATGGTAGGGGAAAGGGCTGGAGACAGATTCTTTGTTAAAGGATACAAAATTACAGCTAGATAGAATTTCTTATGTTCTATAGCATTGGAGGATGACTGTGATTAACAATTTAGTATAGTTTCAAATAGCCAGAAGGAGGATATTGAATGTTGGCAACACAAAGAAATGATACATGCTTGAGATGGTGGATACACAATATCACTATACACCATATGTATCAAAACATCACTAAGTTCCCCATAAATATGTGTGATTATTATTTGTCAGTTATGCAATAAAATTTTAAAAATCAAGGTGCTGTAAAGCAAGTCAAAGGGGCTAACTAAATGGGAAAGAGACTAAGGGGTGTTTCTGCTCTTAGAGTTTTTAGGAGGAATTGTCACAAATTCTAGGAATGTATGTTCAAGTGTCTTTTCTCTGGGAGAGGGAGGGAGAACAGATAATTTCCAAAGCTTCAGTGATTCAAATCCAACTCCACCCTTGCAGGAGAAGCTAAAGTAGGAAAAGAAAACACCACAAGGCCTGCCTAAGCCACCTTCCTCCCCCAGGGAGAGGGCAGATGTTCTCACTCTTCCGAGTGATGAATAACATCAGCTATAACAGCTAACATTTAAGAGAGTGCCAGGCAATGCCCACAAGGACTTTGCAAATTTAATTTACTTATTCTTAGTGACAGTGCAGTTAGGTAAGTGGACTCTCTCCATACCCATGTTATAGATGAGGACATTGAGGCCTAAGGAAATGAAACATCGTGTAGCTAATTAATGGTATAGCCAGATTTATACCCAAGTAATCTAGCCCCCAATAGCCCATGGTCTTATCCACTATATAGTCATCTTATTTATACCTCTTCTCAAACATCCTTCCCCCATGAGACACATCTTACCCTTCTTTTCATATCTTCTACCTTCTACAGACTGGAAATTACCCACAGTCTCTAGGCATTTCTGTCCTCAGATTCCTCTTTGTTGACATTTTTCTTGAGGACATGTGGATGTGAGCAGCAATGCAGATAATCTGAGATAGCAAATCTAAAAATAATTTCTCCTTAGCTTTGACATTCATTGCTGCTATTGTTATTGTTCCGGCAGATTCACTTTTTTAATTGGATAAGACTCCATGGAGCACCCACCGAGTCATGGCTGGCTGGTGGCCCAGGACATCTGGATGTGGCTGAGAGCCTCACTGGGCTGGAGATGCAGATCTTGGATTTGATTTTTTTTGCTGTGAAGAATAATTAAAATTATCTGCAATCATGATGTTTTCAAATTGGCCATTTCAACAGGCAGTGGAAGCACCCCTGAAGGGTGGATGTGGAATGGGAGATGTGAGAGCTAGCCCAGTCAGCCCTTTCAGGTTTTGAGGATTCCACAGAATGCTGAACTGGAATGGAGCTTAAAGGTCAAATATTCTAGGCCTTCATGTGAGGTCCAGAGAGGTCACTAATTAGACTTGGATCTCACCATGGTCTTTAAGCGGCAGAAATGGACTAGAGCCTGGTTCTCACACTTCTGGCTGAAGTCTCATTTCTGCAAGAACTGTCTTCCAGAGTAGACCTGGGCTTACTGGCCTAGTATTATAGTTTACAAAAACACCGAAGGAGAGGTCACAGCAGAATTTTATCCTTCTCCTATAATATTTTAGGATGAAATTGTATCATTTCCCTGATTTTATAAGAAGTTAAACTTAGAAAATTAAGAATATGCCTGGATTTCTTAACCTCACTTAATAACTCAGCATGGGCTTCTGGTCTATGAATTTATATAAATTATTCTGGAACCCACTTTTATCCAGTGCTTCCTTTTAGGAATAACACACTATACATTCATGTATTTTGTTTTTTAAGCCTTAGTCCTTGGTGAAGTAAAAGGAGTCTCCATAGTTTACATTTCTGCTTTGTTGTTTTCTGGATGTTTGATTTGGGGAAGGGGCAAGATAATAAACTCTTCCAAAGCTTCAGATTCCTCACTGTTGACTGGGGGTAATAAAAGAGAGGTTTGATGATGATTCCACAAAAATAACATGTGCAGGTTTCTGGTGCAGACCTGATACACAGTAGGTGCATAAAAACACTGAAAGCATTTGTACTTTTATCCTTTTTTACTTGACAGGCTTAGGTCGTATTTTCTCTGAGTATTCATCCTCCCACCATGGAACTCTCAAGTGTGCTGTTTCAGGGGATTTCCTAGTGCCTTTTCTCTTTCTGAGGTTCAAGAAGCAAAATGAGTGTATTCTGGATGTGGGAACTTCATGGGGAGATTAGTAGACATAGAGGTAGGAAGTCTGTCTGTCTGTCTTCTGTCTGTCCCCCTGTTTCTATCTTTCCACTTTTTTCCCTCTTACACTGCCTACTGTCTTTCTGAGACCATGCAGGTTGTGGAAGAAGACATCACTAGATGAAAATCCTGGCTAAATCACGTATGAACCACATTGACTTTGGTTGATGTACTCAATTTCCCTGATCCTCAGTCTCTGCAGCTAAATGGAGATAATGATACCTAATTCATGGGTTGCAGTGAGAATCAGGCATAAAGAAAGCCCATCGCACAGTAACAGGCACAAAGAAGCTAAAAAAAGTGGTTACTTATCATTTTATGTGACAACTCTAACTTCTATGATGTCATGTCAGCCTTTGGGCTCCCTCTGCATAGCAGCTGACAGCTGCAATTACTGTCATGACTCCTTTCCCTACATCATACAAGCCGTTTTCTTGGTTTATGACAGATAACTTGAAAATCATTAATTTGCATATATTTGAATTATATATGTTAAATTTAAATTTATAAAAGAAAATATTTTGAAGTAAAACTCTTTTTATTTATTTATTTTTTTTGCTGTCATGCAAATTTCCACATTTTTAAGCTTTTT